GTGGGCTTGGGAGGAGCTCCTGGCTCCTTTCTTTTACCAGTTCCATCTGTGTGAAGATAAGTCAAAGGTCCTGCTAGACCATGTCTGGCTCAAGTCTATCTTGTGGGGTCTCCATGTCCCCCCTGAACAAGAGGAAAGGTGACTCACCACATTTACAGGACATTTTGAGAGATGTTCCATAGTCCCTTGGAACTTGGTCAACCTTGGAGGGCAAGGGGTAAAAACTGTCCTTTAAGTTCCTCTGACCACATTGGTATAGGCCTTAAAGTATAGCTGTTAAACATCCAATAAGGTTAGTTCCACCAGTCTGATACTTTTAATTATCATGTGCTATGTAGATAAAGCTTAGGTAAATAACCAAATATTGTCAGATAAACATTGACTAGATATATATTTTGTTCCTTCAGCTAAGAGATTTTTAAAAGAGACTTTGAACTTTAAAATATTTGAATTTTTAAAAGACTGAGACTTTTAAAGTTGTACTATTTTATATTGTAAGATTAAGATGAGATCTTGAAGATATGAAATGAAAAGATTGTGGTTCAAAGTGATGTGTTTGTTTGTCAACTTGACAAGGGTTTGCTCAATTATGCTGGATTGCTTCTGTTGTCAACTTGATACACCTGGGTAGAGGGAACCTCAATTGAGGAATTTTCTCCATTGGACTGGCATGCGGCCTGGTCTGTGGGGCATTTTCTTGATTGTTGAGTGATGTGGGAGGGCCCAGCCAACTGTGGGTGGTGGTTCTGTATTGTATAAGAAAGCAGGCTGAGCATTGGCCAGGGGAGCAAACCAGTAAGCAGTGTGCCACCATGGTCTGTGCTCCAGGTTCCTGCCTAGAGTTCCTGCCTTGGCTTCCCTTGATGATGGACTGTGAGCTATAAGCCAAGTAAATCCTTTTTTTCCCCATGTTCCCATGTTGTTTTCTGTCAGTTGTTTTTGTTTTTTGAATCACAGCAATAGAAAATAAGACAGGGATCAAATTGGATCTCATAAACAACAACAACAAAACATCCAGTTTCTCTGTACCAGAAAAGTTGTTCTCAACATTCAAATATTTTCCTTTTGAATATACTTTTGTGGAATTCTCTTTTCCCTGAGTCCTATTTATTTATAAATCCATCACCTCTCATTCTTCAGCTGAGAATCTATGCAATAAAATAACTCCCAGGGGGCTTAGAGACATCAAGGGGGCTTTTCCCAAAGGAACTGATGAGTCAGAGGTAAAATGCCAGCTGAAATTTTATTCTGAGTTAGAATACCCAATGAGTGTTTGAATATTTATATTCTCAGCTTTTACAGAAATTCTAGGCACAATTTGAAGGTTCACATTTATTTTTGAAAGAAAGGAGAAATTAGGTTAAAAATGAAAGCAGACTGAAAATTATGGGCAAGGCAGAAGCATACATTAATCTTTGGAGTAAGGCAGAATGCATGCTTGCAAGGCTCACTCTCCCAATTATGCAGTTTGGGGAAAGGAGAAGTAAAGTGCAGAGAAAGCACTCAGTTTGAAGCATGAAAATCAGGCTGCTCTTCCCTGTGAAATGTCTACTTTTTCCTGTGAGAAAAAAGGATTAATTCTACACTCAGAATATTCTCAATTTTCTTAATTTCAAGGAATACCTGTATTTTAAATTCTGACTAAGTAGAAGAAAATTAGTATAATTATGATCAGTGGGTTAAATACTACAAGGCTGATGAAGTTAGCTGGGTCTGGTGGTGCATGTCTGTAGTCCAGCACTTAGATGGAGGCAGGAGTTCAAGGTCATCCTCTCATCCTATAATATCCTAAATAACGTATTGCAGGTTAGCCTGAGCTACAAGAAACCCTGTCTCAACACAAAACCAAAAAGGATGATGAAGCTGAAAATATCAACTATATGATAAACCTAAAATGGGCAAATCTAAATTCAGGAAAGTAGTAAAAATTATGCAAGTTTAAGAGTTATAAAACAATATGTCATTATAGTTAAAATAGAAATTCTCAGGAGACTATCTGATAAATACACTATCAAGGATTCAGTTTCATTATGCTAAAATTCAGAATAAACAAAAAGCTAGCAAGTAAGACCTATCCCCTGCCTTGCTGCTGTTTATATGTTCAATGTCCTTTGTGCAGCTGACTGCTTAATAGTCCAAGGTTTCGCTCTTTTATATGAGATGTTAAAGTCTATTTCATTGTTTGTATTTCAAAACAGTTGTGTCAATCATTTAAAAATTCTAGTTCTTTCAAGCTTACTGAACTCAAAAAATAATTGAAATCCTTAATGTTAACATATGAATCTATTTTTTATTTTTATTTTATTTTATGCATATGAGTGTATTGCCTGCATGCATGTAAGTGTACCTACCTGTATTGTGCAATGCCTGAGGAAGTCAGAAGAGGGCATCAGGTCTCCTGGAACTGGAGTTATAGACAGTTCTTACCTGCCATGTGGGTGCTAGAAATCAAATCTGGGTCCTCTGTAAGAGCAGTCAGTGCGCTTAACTGCTGAGCCACCTCTCCAGCCCCCAATAAATCTAAATTAAAGACTTTGAGGACATGAATGCTCATCCTTTTTTAAAAAAACTATTTTTTATTGATTTTTTTGTATTTCTTTTGTTTTTAATGTTAAAGAAATTCCTTATGATTTTTAATATCACACAAATGAAAGTGCCACAGGATCACAAACCCACATTTGTCCCTTTTTTCAAAACCAAGGAATAGCCCATTCTCCACTCCAAAGCTCTGAATGCACATGGAGATTTGTGGTCTGGTCAAGTCCTGATTCATACCCAGGTTGTGGACATTTCAAAAGCTTTCACATGATAGTTGCACTAAGGCTAGGTAACAGATACAAGCAGGCAAAGGAAGGCCCACGATAATTGCTTTGCATCTGCAACATTCCTGCTCCTCACAACCCGAAGTTCCAAACAGTCAGTGAGCCTTGTAGAATCTTCAATGTAGGTGCCAGTCTTTCAGCGAACTTGAGTTTACAGTCCCATGGGCTTATTTACATAATGTAATCCATCCGCCTTTATTTTTTTAAATAAACAATTTATTGAGAATTTCATACATGTATATAAGGTGTTTTGATATATGTGAATTTACACACTGTTCACAGTGTGACTTAACACAAGGCTCATTCCTACATGCCCACCACTGGTAACATTCAGAGAAGTAACCTGATAGCAGGCACCTAACCAAGAACAAGAGCTAACTGGCTCTCTGTATTAGTTTTTATACTATTGCATAAGAAGTTGCTATAAACTTAGAAGCTTAAAACGACATCTAGTAATCATTTCACAGTTATGGAGGTCGGAAGTCTGGGTGGGCACCTGTGGGTTTTCTGCTCAGGGTCTTACAAAGCTGCAGTCAAGATGTCAACAGTGTGCTGTTTTCACCTGGAGGCTCAAATGGGACAGAACCTGTTTTTCATGTTCATTCAGGCTATTGACAGAAGTCAGTTCCTTGTGGTGTAAGAGTAAGGTCCCTGTTTCTTGTTAATTTTTGGCCAGGAGTTGTTCTAAACTCTTAGGGGCCCTCTCACAGTCCATGCGCCCCTGTCTTTTTTCAAATCCAGTAATCTTCATGCTTTAAATTGCTATGAATTCTGTTTCTACTCCCAAACTAGAGAAAATCCTGTTTTCCAAGGGGCACATGTGGTACAACCAGCATCATCCATTCTGTGGACATTTCTGTGGATTAATCTAGGTCTGCTAACTGGTAACCTTAATGATTTGCCAGATCCCTTCGTCATGTAACAAAACATAATCATGGGTACCATCAAGGGGTAAAGATCATGAAGTCTATCTTGGATTAGCCTGCCATGCTTTAAAAATTATAATTATCCAAGGGATGGCTTAGGTCTGTGAGCTCTGTTGTCTTACAGAAGTGCTATTCAAAGGCAGAGTGTAAGATATCTCTTACATCTTGTCTGAATCTAGCACTATTTCCAATCTCTTTGCCCTCAGGGCCTTCTGGGCCTGAAATTGGGTCACTCATTCTTAACAGGACATTGTCAATGAGTTTGTTTCATGGATATCTGCATGTGATGTCATGTGATAGATAAACAACAAGGATGTTACATGATTGTTGCACTGGCTCCTGCTGCTGGCTGGGTATCTACACTGAAGACCATGCTATATTCCATATTTTATTACAGGCTCAGAGAGCAATGAACATGAAGTCTCTGCTGAGGGCGCTAGCAAACATGCCCCCCCACTATCGCTGCCTTTGCATCAGCCACCTCATTGGATGGACTGCCTTCCTGGCCAATATGTTCTTCTTCACAGATTTCATGGGGCAGGTAATGAACTTATGTGTGTATCATTAGCTCATCATCAATCCCTTAACCCATGCCTTTGGAGTTTCTTTTGGATGGCCTCTTCAATGGGTACAATAAAAGTATAGGAAAGAATACCTTCAAGGACTTGGTTTGCAGACATGTTCTAGAAGCAAGCAGCTCTACCTTGTAAAACTAAACACTGTGAGACCTATCAGCACCTCATCTAATGCAACAAATAGAAGAGAACAAAGATGATCTGTAGAGATCATGGCAGCCTTTGTAAAAGATGCACAGTATGATCTTGGCCTTAAAGGTTGAGTCAGAGTTTCATTTCCCAGTTTTCTCTATGGAGAAGAGAGTATTGTAAGTGGGAATGAGAATGGTATGTTGTAGAGATAAGTCAGAAGCTTGTTGGTTATACCAGAGTCTGGGTGGCAGGATTGCCCAAGTCAGACGGGGACAGATGTTAGGTTGAGAGGGAGTAGCATTGAAAGTAATCCAGAGAAATGTGGTTCATGTTTGATGCGCAGATAGTAGACTTCATGCAGGTCCTTGAAGGAGGCATGAGAGTGAGAGATGAAGGGAGCAACTTAGTGATAACTGAATAAATTCTGTGCCCTAGGAAGGAGCCCTTCTTTCCAGGTATGGAGAAGAATAGAGCTCCCTACCACACTGTACTTTTAGCTCAACCACCCGAAACCTCTCTTTCAGATTGTGTACCATGGGGATCCGTATAGTGCGCACAACTCCACAGAATTTCTCATTTACGAAAGAGGAGTTGAAGTTGGATGTTGGGGCTTGTGCATTAACTCTATATTTTCTTCACTCTATTCTTGTAAGTATTCTTCTTTTAAGGGTGTCTTCAAAGGGCTAGCAGCATAACCTAAATTTTATACTTGAAATTATATATTTTTCTCTTTAACATATTAAATTCTTGATAATTTTATGGAAATTGGGAAAAACTTTTTCTTTACAAAGGATCCCATGAAGTATCCTTTTTAATAGTCAGTGGGCTTGTAATCAGTAGGCTTCTGATGAAATTTTCTTAAAAGTAAAAGGAAGTTTTGTAAACAAGACCATGAAGTGTTGGGTGGGTGAGTGATAAAGTCTCAGCAGATCCATATTCTACTGGAACAAGAACAGTAGTGATTTCATAGATGTTTTATAGATTCCATAGATGATTTATCAGATTTGAAGGTGGCACAAAATAGTAGTAGGAGGACAGTTAATATGATAAGTGACAGAAAGCAACCTATAAAATGACTTTCACGCTAATGCAGTATGCTCTGTAACAGGATCCCTGTCCTAAGATTGAGAACAACTGGTCTTTCTTCTCAGGTACCAGCTTAACTCCTCTCCTGCTTAAATTGTAGCTGTTGAGGATACTGGACAAAGGGACTTCTGCCACTAACTTAAAATAAGCTCAGACTGTTATACTGTAGCTGCAAGGCACCCACAGGCTCACCTTTGACTGTTAATATATATAATGATCTCCAGGCTCTATGTACATTGAATCAAGTGAAGATGGCCTGTAGTATGCACAAAAATCCTGTATTTGGAATGCGAAGTTTTTTCTCAACAATAAAATGAGCTCTTTTTCACTCCAGACTTATGAGGGGAAAAGGTTGACCCCCATCTCTTTGGGGGGTTCAGCAGGGACATAGCCCAGGTTAAGGAAGGAAAAGAAATGTAGAGAATCCCTCTCACCATTCCCAGGGACATACACTGTCCCGTGATTCTTGTGGGGTCGAAGATGTAACCTACCCTTTCCTTTACCCATAGTGCAACAGTAAACCTTTTTCAAGATCTTCTCAAAATTAAACAAAACTGCGGGGAAAAGAGTACCTGTTATATGAATTCATGAGCGGATTGATCATAAAATCAGAAAATTCATTACTTTAAAATTTAAGGAAATCACATAGTAGCAGATTAAAGCTTGCTTTCCTTTATCAAATGCTTTCTTCCTCTGAGAATATATAAATCAGGAAAATTTCAGAAGGAAAATTTCAAACATTTAAAATAGAATCAGCTAGTGACAGAGACCAGAAGTCTATCTGTTGTCCATTTCAATTCCTTTGCGATTTCAAGAGGGTATGTCTTCATTCTTATGAAGAAAAATACACTTTCACATATATTAGCATTTAGCTTTGTCCAGTTGAACATTCTTTTCCTCAGGGAACCCTTACTAGGTTACATTTTGTTTAGTGTGAGTTTCTGTATGAATTTCATGGCAGTTGAAAATTAAAACACGTGGGGGCTGGAAAGATGGCTCAGCAGTTAAGAGCACTGGCTGCTCTTGCAAAGGACCCGGGTTCAATTCCCAGCACCCACATGGCAGCTAACAACTGTCTGTAACTCCAGTTCCAGGGGATCTGATGCCCTCTTCTGATCTCCACAGGCATTACATGACATGGGTGCACCTACGTACATGCCAGCAATACACTCATACACATATAGTAAAAATAGTAAATAAAGCCAGGTGTGATGGCACACACCTTTAATCCCAGCACCCTGGAAGCAGAGGCAGGCAGATCTCTGTGAGTTCAAGGGCAGCCTGGTCTACATAGTGAGTTCCAGGCCAGTTGGGGCTATAGGGAGACCCTGTCTCAAAAAGACCTAAATAAATAAATAAAATATTTTTTAAACAGAAAATTAAATCACATGTTATTTTCAGGCCCTTTCTTGTTAAAAGTCTAGTGTATGAAATAAATTATTGGTGTGTCTTCTAAAATTTTTCAATATATAAATCTATCAGACCCATACTATCCTGAATTAAAACCAAAATTTTATTTATGAACTAACAATGAGTCCTACTCAATTCTTGAGGGGTCTCCGTGCCACAGGACAAGGACAAGGCCCAAGTCCTGAGCATGGCATTCAACTGTTTTTACAGATTTGCCTGTTCATCTTTGTGATCTCACTCACTCCCACACATATTACCTACCCTTACTGACCCTCTACATGGACTTTTTCCTCCATCTTAGTCCAGTGCTTTTACTTTATCCTGTCTGACTTTCTCCCGCTCTCCCACATAGATGACTCCTGACCACTCATTTGGGCCACCTTAAATTCTGTTTCCTTTTGACATCAGTCAAGTTGTCCTCTTGCTTCCCATCCCATCCTCGGTAGATACATTCCTTCCCTTCAGAGCATACCTCATTACTCCCTGTTTTTGACTTATCACATAGCATCAAGTGAGGATCCAACCTCTCCATCTAAACAGAGCTCTTTACACCATCCCAGATGCTGGAATGGGGGATGGCCATAGGGATCTTGCTTTCGAGCTTTTACACAGCCAGAAAGCACTATGCACCAGATACTATAACAACTCTAAGTACTGAGGTATAGCCAGTCTTCCTATCCTATGGTAGTACTCATGGTTGTCAACTCATTAATTTCTTCCTATTCCAAAGACAGCACTACTGGGAATACAGCTACCCCTGGGCATCATAGCCAGCAGAGGCAATGGCATCCCCACCCCCCAGATTTATTGGCTTATCATCATGAATAAAGCATTCTTCACCAGACTTTCAGTCTTTGTACTATTGTTACATATGTGTCCAAATATCTCTTTAACTTTCTTTGGTTCTTTTTGGCTTGCACACCTGGATAAGAGCTGTGTATTGATGACATCTTTTAAGTTCTGAGACACCTAGAATTAAAATTTCTGCATAAATATAAATTATTAAACAAGCTTGTCAAGGCTTACTATAAAACGGACCTAGGTTTGCACTGCTCCAATTTTCAAGTCTTAACAACAGCACTCCAGGAATGGGATGCATTTATAAGGGAAGCAGTGTTTTATGCTTGTCATTTCTAGAGCTCGTCCATGCAATGACTGGAGACAGTGTTTTGTTTCATAGTTGATTCAAATGTCATATAGACTTTGCTTCTTATCTATGAAGCGTAAGTCCAATAATAATTCAGGTAGCTATGGAACATTTCATTTTTAGTAGGCATGTTTCAATTATATATCTTTGGTTCACACAACAAGTAAATTGAGTTATGTATTAATCAGGGTTCTCCAAAGAAACAGAACCAGTAGAATGAATATATATGTATAGAGATTTATCAGCTTAGCTCACAGGATAGAGTCTGAGTAGTCCCAACAATGGCTGCACCACACCGGAGAGGCTGAGAATCCATAGTTGCTCAGTCCACAAGGCTGGATGCCTCAGTAGTCCCAATCCGGTGCTGAAGGTCTGAGAAATTCCAAAAGATCAGCTAATCTTCAGTCTACAGCACCAAGACGAACTCACCAGAGAGAGAGAAGGCAAGTAGCAAGAAGCCAGGCGTTCTCCTCTGCCTTGGCCTTTTATACTGGCTGTCATCAGAAGGAAACACCCACATTTAGGGTATGTCTTCCAGCTTTAGATGATCCAATCACGAGGATCTCTTTCATTTCAGTTAACCCCAGATCCAGTCAAGTTGACACCCAGGATTAGCCATCACAAGTCCACCCCTTGTCAACTTGACACCCAATAGCATCTCTCTATGTCATGCTTAATTTTCAAATGAAAAAAATGTTGAGGTCATAATTTCACCTAACATGATATAACTATCCCATCATACAATGACCAATGCATTATATATCTCAGAGTAGGTGAAAAGGTCTTCAATGAATGCTTAGTCCTTTAGTGTCTCATAACCCAATATA